AATATGATATTGGCTATGTAATAGTATACATGTGATTATATGTTATGAAAATGGAAAATAAAAAAAGTATTTTGAAAAAAAAAGAAGGGACAAAATACCATCCGTTTCCCTGTGTTCAGAAAAGCAACTCCAGGAAGGCCCTTTGGTGGTGGCAGGCATCCTAGAACCTTCCTGCTAGTAAAGGACCTTCCCGGAGTTGCTTTTCTGAGCACGGGGAGACAGAAGTTACAAAATACCATCAGTTTCCGCATGCTCCGAAAAGCAACTCCGGGAAGGTCCTTTGCTAGCAGGCAGGTTCTAGGATGCCTGCTGCCACCAAAGGACCTTCCCGGAGTTGCTTTTCTGAGCACAGGAAGACAGGGAGATTGCGTCCCTTCTGTCTCCCCGTTGCTCAGAAAAGCAACTCCGGGAAGGTCCTTTGGTGGCAGCAGGCATCCTAGAACCTGCCTGCTAACAAAGGACCTTCCCAAAGTTGCTTTTCTGAGCACGGGGAGACAGAAGGGACAAAATACTGTCCATTTGCCCGTGCTCAGAAAACTCCGGGAAGGTCTTTTGCTAGCAGGCATGTTCTAGGACACCTGCCGCCACCAAAGGACCTTCCCGGAGTTGCTTTTCTGAGCACGGGGAGATTTGCGCAGTGCAGCCAGCACCTAGGAGCAGTCCCCTCCCCCTTCACTCAGTTTTCTGGGCCCAACAAACTGAGTGAAGGCAATTTCTGCCAGTTTACTCTTTTCTTTCTTTGAACACTTTAAAATTCTTGTCTTTTTGGATTGGAGATATTTTATAGTTACAATTACCTTGAGGGAGCACAAAGACCTAGACACACATATACACAAGGACAAGGAGAAAATAAGAGGGGGAGGGAGAACTCTCAGGTTTACACATCCTAGTCATTCTCAGCACAAATCTGTTAAATTAGGGAAGGCACAAATCTTAACAGACAAACCACATGGTTGCATAGAAGACAGAGAAAGAGACAAACAGACAAGAGAAAGAAAGAAACCCCAACATTTTTCCTTTTCTTTTAAGTACCTTTATGTAGCCAAATTAGTTTTCCTGAATCATCTTTCAGCAAAGCCCATTCTCTACATATCTGTTTTGCTTTCCTTTTTTTTTTCATTCCGGCCAGGACAGCATCTGCTTTTCATCTCAGGCCCCCAAGAGCTCCCCTAAGGGGGTTTCCGTGGCCACCCGTGAGCTATCGCTTCCCATGATCCCGCTCAGATGTGGGACTCACTTCGTCCTAGCCGGGCTTGCTGCTTCATATTCCCTGCTTCAAATTCGCCTCCTTAGAGGACCTTTCCGCGCCCTTTTAAAAGGACTTTTTCTCACCCTTTGGAGGGACTTTTCGTGCCCTCCGGAGGGACTTTTCGCGTTCCTCACCGCGGGAACCTTTCGTGCTGTGTTTTGAATCCAGGTTTGGTTGAATTCTCAGATGCCATATGGGGAGTTGGGTAAAGGGCCAATATTATCATGTCTTAATTTCTGTGGGAGGAGCCAACGTCACAATAATACATTGTTGTATTCGGCTGTCTGAATCCACTGATGACACTTTTGCCCCTGGACAGTCCGGCAGGACCTAAATCGTCCCGAAGAGACGGTGACTGGGAAGATAAGACCTTGCTGGTCGCAGGGATATCGCAAAGTCCCTGATCGTCCCAAGGGGAGTGCTTCCCACCCGCGGGAAACCAACCGGCCCCCCCCCCCCCCCGGCTGACATAGTTGGAGATGGCTCCACGGAAGAGAGAATGAAACAAAAATGTTTCTANAAAGCCCAAGGACTTGGTAAACTCTCTGAATCTGGTAGCAACTACCCTGGCTTTAATTATTTAAAAAAAATTATTTAAAATTCTTCCTTTCCCTCAGGAGACTGGTGAGGCCCTGCCTCCCCTGCCTCTAGTGACTGCACGTCCCTGGTACATCGCAGATTTTGCTGATGGTTCCTTTAAAAACAAAAATCTAAACAAAAATACCATGAATGGTGGAGCAAGCTGGTTAAGAAGGAAGACAACAACAATGAATGAAACCAAGTATTAGTATCCCTTTAGTATTCTTCTCTCATATTAATGTAATTAATCTGGCATAAAACAATTATAGTTCCCCTGGGTGATGTAAGATATAAACGTGGATCGTAAACTTGAGAAGGCTTTAATTTTCCCTCAACCAGAATGCAGTGAGGTCAATTTCCAGCTCTGGCCATGCGCCAGACTTTTTGGTACTAGAGCACTTGTGTCATTGTTCTATTTTTCCAGTGTGGTGGACATTCTAGTGTGCAAGTTCCCCAAAATGCTATTGACTTTGTAGAATAAATGCTTGCATTCATGTGATAGTAAAGCTCTCATATTTATCTGTTTGTTTGTACTCTCAGGTTAGCCCAAACATTATATCACAACAAATTTTGAATCAACTTGCCTAAAATCTGCTCATTTCAAGAGTGGCTTTGTGGTCACTCGGTCATCCCGAGGTGGTAACAGCAGAGGGCCTCGATTCTGACCCAGCCTTAATGCTTCCTCCACTGTTGAGCCTCTCCTTCCTTTTGCAATTTTTCCAGAAAGTTGGCTTAGTTTTGACCTTTGAGGAAAACGATAATTGGAATGAGGATGGTTGCTTTTCCTGATTTGTTGTTTTCCACCTGTTGTGTTCCTTTATGGCTCCTTTTTTTGTTTCTTATTCCAGGTTAATATTGATTTTGATTTGATTTGATTTGATTAGAGCAGAAAGCAAGGCCATAATTTAAAGTATAAATCATAAAGGTCAGGTCAGTGGACCTGGATGCAGAGAGTTTACCAAGTCCTTGGGCTTTTTCTTATGGAAACAGAGATGGCCTGCAGTCCAAGGGATCCTTTCAACTGAGTGGCTGGGAAGGGCAGCAGCCTTCTCTGCATCTGGGGCTTAGAAAGCCTTTGCTGGATGAAAAGACCGGGCAGTGACACCAGGAGTGGCTTGAACCTTCTGGCTCTGGAGGGTGAGAGGCCCATGAGCTGGCATCTCCTTGTGGGCGGGGGGGAAGGAGGGAGGGACAGGAAGTCATGGGGATGAGCCTGCTTTCCTCAAGCGTGTGTGTGTGATTGTGCGCGTGTGTCTGGAGCCTTGCGTGCTTCCCTGATCACCAGCTGTTTGCGTGTCAAGTGACAATGGCCTAAAACAAGGGCTGCTTGTTTTTAAATAGCATGACCAAACTCACAAATGCCGCCGGGGCTCAACAGCCGAGTGAAACAGATCTCTGCTTTGCTTGCAGGAGGCTAATGACTCTGAACTCCATGAAGCTGGAAGTCTACTTTCAGCCGAAACAGGTGAGCTGCCGCGCGGGGTGCAAGGGCTGGGATGGGGCAGGGAATGCAGCCCATGTCCTGGGAAGAGCTAACTGGTCCTTGCCACCATCCCCTGGCTGCCCCTCCTCGGGTCCTGTCCAGATGCCCTTTGAGCTGACACAAGGGCTTTTCTAGAGCAACCGCTGGGGAGCTCAGCTGGAACGTCCTGGGCCTCAGTTCTTGAGACCCTGGGAAAGTCAGGTCCCAGAGTGGAGACTCGGACAGGCCCTGCGGTGAGCAGTATCCAGGGGTGTTGAACACAATTTAATTTAGGGACACATCCAGAGGTGAGTTCCTACCAGTTTAGACAAGTAGGTAGTAACTCGGACTGCCATGCTCCGGAACTGGTTCTATTGGCTGCGACATAGGCGTCACCATCTTGTTTTTTGCTTATGCACATGGGCAGAAGCATTTTTTAGTACTGCACATGCGCCCGTAGCGCGCATCAAGTGCACCCGTGCCCCTGAGTGAACCGGCAGTAGTAGCAGCCGGAACCCACCCCTTGCTGCATCAAGGCTGTGTTTGATCTCAGAGGAGGGGGCAGCTTGACATCATTCATGTAAGGTGAACCTGTGGTGACCCAAGTGCTTGGCCAGCGAAAATGGGCTCCCAATCTCTATTTTTGACTGGGACAGCCTCCTGCAACCCTCTGCCAGCGAAAACCAAAACCATCCAAAAACAGAGATTGGGAGCCCATTTTTTCTGGCAGAGGCACTGTGGGCCGGTCCTTCATTGTTTCCAGGGTGGCCCTACGGGCCAGTTGTAAGCACCCACAGGCCACATCCGATCCACGGGCCTTGAGTTTGACACCCCTGGGGTAACCCAAAGCACAATTCTTCTGGATTAGTTCTTCGAATCAATTGTCACCCATACAGTGGAAGTCATAAAACGATGCTTCTGACTATGCACAGAGGCTGCAGTTCCTTTAGGGCAGTGGTTCCCGATGTGGGACCCACATCCCACAGAAGGGCAATTTGATTTTTAATGGGAGCAATTTGAACCTTGTTTAAACCAAGTTAATGGCTTTTTAGGCTTCCTCCGCGTGAGTAGAGTTCACTTTTTGAGTAAAGTAAGTGTCAGGGTTCCAAATACCATCCAACAGTAAATCAGAGTCCAAGGCAAAGTATTGCTCAAAGTTTTAACTATGGGAGGAGGCGAGAGAACTCGGAGCCTCTTTTGCCT